TCCGATGTCGATCTCGAAGTGCCTGGTGATGGACGTTCCTTGTCTCATGAGCTCCGACGGCAGTCGATCCGGTGGAGACTGTTGTGAGCCAGTACCTACAAAGCCCCGAAACCGATCGCAGCCTGCTTCATCGACGCAAATCGATCTTCGATATCTTCAAAGAATTCAATACACCGCCAACCTGAAGCGCACAGGTCGAAAGGTTGTTCTCAAACGCTTCGATGATTGACGCCCCGCGGGCAAGACGTCTTACGGACAACAGGTCCGAGCATCGATTCGTTTTGAGGGCTTCCCTCATGCAGTAGTCATCAAGACTTTCAAGCTCCTCCTCCGTGATACACATCATTCTGGTCATATGTACATATGCCGAACCCGTTCCTCCGTTCAAGATAAACATCTTCAATAAAACATCTTTTAGTTGACTTCGCTTCATGAGATCTTTGCATTCGCCATGAAAAAAACATCGAAGAAATCTCTAACACACTGCTTGAATAATCCATATTAAGAAATTAGGTATGTGCCTACATTCCCTGGATCGATTGATTCCCTGGATTGTTTCTCAGCCTAACAACATCATCGACTGAGTCAGGCTTTTCCAACTGCGATTGCGGAAGATTAAAGGAAACTTTTAGGAGTCAAATCGAGACTTCCCGATGCCACAGTCGTGTTGAGCGGCGTCAAAACCGAAGACGCTCCATTCTCTGCCGAAATCTTTGCTTTTGAGAAAATCGGATGATTACGGGTTTGATTCCGGCAAAATCATGCGGAGTCTGTGATTATGATTATGTCCTGGTTTTGAGTTTTCCGTGATTTCGATTGAGATCATTATCATAATCATGGTAATGAATATGACTTCCCCCAAAACTGCCGGATAGGCCAGCCGAGGGGGAGCCTGTCGCGGATGGATCGCGGGAGAAGCTCGACTTGCATTCCACGCGAATGGGCGCGTGGACGCGAATCATTCTCTCGCGAGACCGTGGTCACCCTCAAAGCTTTGGACCGTCTACCGGTCGAATGACTGGCTCACTGAAGGTCCGACTGGTTTCTTCTGTTTATTCGCGTATCGGTCTGTGTAATCCGTGCTGGTCAAAACTGTGGGACCGACTCGTAAGAATCGAGAGCGAACAAGCCTTGCTTCACGGCGATTACAGCTCTAGTGGGATATTTATGCTGCCGCGCACGATCGGGACGTGTAATCTACGGCCGAGAAGCATCGACGAATCTGCCGCGTGGCATCGTGCGACTCGAGCGTAAACATGACACTAAGCCGAGTTTATCCTCCGAGGTAGCCGAGAGCATTCCTCCGTGTCTCCATTGAAACAGCTTGCCGAAGGTTCTTCTTTGGAGCGGAGGCTTTTCGCATCGCTTTGAGTTCTTGAGATGCGTCTCGAAGGGATTCGGTCGATAATCTCGCAGTGTTTTCCCTTCGTCCTCTAGCGCAGTTCTGAAAATCATCTCGGAGGAGAAGCTTCTCACTTCATTTCTTCCGAGATCTCGCACTCCGCGACGATGATGCGAGACAATGCACCGTTCGGCGGGGCTCGCGCAATACCATCAAGCGCTCGACCGAATTAGAAGTATTCAATAGCCTTCGGAGAAAGCTGGAGAATTCCAGAGGATATTCGATCCTAGATCCTCCGATTCCCCGGGTCGATTATTTAGGAGCGTTTCTCTCCCGGGTCCCTTTGCTGAGAGCCAGTACACACAAAGCCGTAGTCCCTGTGACTACGAGAACAAAGAGAGCGTTGTTCTGACAGGACATTCGTTGCAATCTACTTGTAACGATAAAAAACGTTCATTTCCATCAAAGCAGTAACAATGTTCCCCCGCGCTCCGTGTCGCGGACTCGACGATTCAGCTCGAGTTGCGGCTCGACATTGTATAAGCCGACGATTCGCTGGAATTCCGGTCATCCGCTTTCGGTCGTAGATGGAGTAATTCGCGGAGCTTATCTAAGAGACAGTCTGAGGATGGCTGATTATCACACGTTCGCCCCTGGAAATCGAGCCGGGTATCGAACTGGATGCGAGCAACCGTAATTCGCACCGGGTGTGACTCCGAACCTGAAGCATACACGGTACCCAAAACCCAACACGTGGATACCGGAGCGAAAACTTCAAATTCGAAGATGCGTGCATCGAAAGAACGACACGAACGATCGGCAAACCCTTTCCCCGTGCAATCGTCACGGATGCGCTTCGGTCGACGGCGTTCGCCTGTTTTGCAACTTTTCTGCGGGCTCCGCTTGATGTTCATGACCATGCTCGCGGCACATTTCGACTTTTCTCGGGGGAAGGATGGAAGAAGAGGGAGCTCGCAGGGCCTCGATCCAGTATTTTTAATCTCGTCTTCGCTTCCATCATCCTTCGCGCCCTCCGGTGACCAGCAGCCATCATAACCTTCGTCCCTCTGGAACGCCTTGACCTCGATTCGGCCTGCTACGAGGAATCGCCTATATCCACGATTGGCCGCAGGCAGCTGGGGAACCGCGGAAAAAATTGGGTCCCTGAAATTCTTGTTTTGCTCGGAGCCTGCGGATCGGAGATGCATGTTCTGAGTTCCACATCGAACAAGGGACGCGGAGCGCCGCGAGGCTACTCAGCAAGACTTTATCACCCGTTCATTCGGCCGAGTGCATTACGCTAATTCAAGAAGGTATGAAATGGACGCCCATAAGCAAAGTTGCTTCGTCATATCATGGTTTCATCGTCTCCAGACCTTTTACGGTCGTTCCTTCGTAAACACAGAATCGTCTTGTAGAATCCTGACTCCTTCCGTCCTCCTGAATCAGGGAGCCCGAATCCCTTCGCATCGACGGGGGGCGTGTTTTCGCAGGACAACTGTGGACGCCAATACTCTGAGCTAGATCGGAGGAGAACCAACTGGGAGCCACCCTGGCGCGTTTCCTCAATAAGAAGGATCGACCGTTGGAACTTCCAACGGCTGTGACCAGTGAAAACGAGAAGGAGCGAAGACTGGCAAATTCTCTCGCTCACGTCTCACTCGACTATGGGAGATTCCTTGTCGTAGTGTCGCATGATGATCCCATCATTTTTCATCACTCACCCATCCGAGGCCAAGCTTCTCGATTCTTCCCGCTCGAGAAAGATCCGGGTGTTGCCCGATGTTGGGGAAGGCGAAATCCCTGAGAATCGATGATCGAAAATCATTCTTCGGATCGCTCGTGATCAGAAAGCGGGTAGTACCATCGAACCCGCTTATAAGAAAACCGCTCAAAATAGAAAACCGGTAAGAGACCGATTCCGATTCCCCGATATTTTCTCCATGGGGCTTCATGGTAAAAACTTCGCTTATAAGAATTTCGGATATAGTGAGAAAACCGGATATAAGAGACCATTCCGAAAGCCCGGCTCCGTAGAGTCCCATGTCAGAGACCCCTTATATAAGAGAGAACCATCTCAAGCAGAATTCCGGTTTGCCCTTCCATGACTTCTCTTCCTCTCAAAAGCTGCCCGAATAAGAAATGGTTCTGATGAAATTCCGTAATAAATCAGAATTCACTCTGAAAACGATCGTCTCTGCGCTGAATCATGGTTTGGGCATCCGAGTCATACGAGAACGGGACTCCTCAGGTTTTCCATGGAAAACCCGTACCTCAGATATTAGAGAAACCGGATACAAGAGACCATTTTCAATTCCCCGAGAGGTCTCTTATTAGCGGGCTGGACTGTATGGAGACAGGTCGTGTATGCACCCCGCGGAGTGTGTTTCCTCAACATTCTAATCATCGGATAAGAAGATGATGAAGCTTCGCCGAGAATACGATCTTCATGCGTAGACAAGACACCGCGCCGGCTCGAATCACAACGCCGTAGCTGAGACAAGACATATGGTGAATCGTCGTTCCAGTGACATTGCGCGGAAAAGGAAATAATACCCGAGACCTCGATCGGGTTGCCGCTCAATTGAGGGGATTTTCGTCGACACCAACATTCGTTTTCAGCCGTCCCGAACATATCCAATTATTCTCTAACGATTCAAGAGGCCTTACTTCTCCTGGTCGAAACCGGCTTCCGACGCCGATGTTTTATTGCGGGTCAGACATCCGACAAGCTCACGACACCGTTCGTACCGGATATCACAACCTGTGGGGTCCCATCCGAAGCAACTAAATTCAGCAAGGTGATCGAGCGGATTAGCTGTTCTGTTATCTGGAGACACGCCGATAGGTACCTAGCTCCAGTCCGGGCCTATGAAGCCATAATATAAGCAGATTCTTCCGGCCATCTAAATTGTGGAAGATTTCTCCGCCAGGATTTCCCTTATTCCAATTGAGAGCCTTTTCCATGATGAGTTGAGACAAGACCCAATCGTGATGCGAATACTCATCGGGATTCATGCATTCGATTACTTGCAGATACATCAATTGAAGATGACCTCGAGAAGCTCCCGGGCGTCCTCTGCGGTCAAGGTTACCCCGAACCTCGAGCCTCGTTCGGAGATGGACGCCCTGCTGCTCGGAAGGACAGGGGTAAGTCGAGCTCGTAGCCTATAGGTCCGCTCTAGGAATTCTTGAGACTGGCTCAGCAGCCGGCGCGTCGGATGAGGGATTCTCCATTTTTTTCCCGCTAGCCGCCCCCAACATCGGAGCTTTCTTGTTGAATGCGCTGAATTCCGGGACTAGTCGCCGCACAATATGGTCCCGACGCGGACGTCGAGAGCCGCGCCGGCTTCCCTCTCCACAGGCTGAAAGCTGTCAGAGGGCCATCTGAATATAGATGATTCTAATTCTTATATGCAACGGTTCATCATGACGGGGTCATTGGGTCGATGCGCGCACTCAAAATCATCGACACCACGGGGCTGTGCACGGCTTTCAGAGCTCAGTAATTGAAAGGAGCCTCCTGGCTCGGCTGATCCGAGGGGCGAGCGAAAGCCTGCGAGACCTCGATGGAGAAATTGGCGAATTCCTCGAGCTGAACAAAAGTTAACAATCTTCATGAATTCGGGAGGAAAACAGATGGCTGTGGCATTCTGCATCACGATTTTCTTCGCATTGATAAGATAGCTATATACACCGAAAAGAACGAAATGAGATGGAGTAGCAGTCGTCGTCGTACTGTGATCCAGCCCGCGAGAGTTATTCTCGGAAAGACTATCGATGTTCGCTGGAGTAAAACCAAAACGGAGAGCACGGGTCGGGTAACCGGAGCCTGGGGGTTCTTTGCTCCGAGCGCCAGGAGCGTCTGCTCCATCTGCTGAACGAAATTGTGATACTCGTTCTGAAAAGATTAGAGTTCCTGTCGCTGAGCGGGAACAGCGCATGGATGTTGATCTTATCATCACCGGTGACGAGGAATAATACTGGAGACGAGTCTCATCCACTCGATACCTGAATGCCTTCCGCAGCTCCGGTGGTGGCCCAAATGATAGCCCACCACGGGAAGCCGTCCATGAAGAGGTTGAATGCGATGCGGCCCGCGTGACTGCCTGGGAACGAGCCCTCAAAACTCATATGTATATCCGCAATTACGTTAATAATGCACATCAGATACCAGATAGCGAGCACGGGCGAGAATACACTGTCCACTTCCCGGAGGTTGAGTTCTTGATGATGGAAGAGGTTGCGGAGCTGCAATGGCGACCAGCATCAATAAATAGCGCCAGTCAGTGGATGGAATGACTCGCGAGAGGAGGATAGGGCAAGTAAAGATGGATGCTCGGATTGGTAGACGAATTGCTGGACACGCGCATGCATACACAAGCGCATCGACGAGCAAACCAACGAATGCTAGATGGGGAATTTGCTTGATCGCAGAGGGTCTCAGAAAGATCAGCGCTCATTTCCTCTCCTTTCGTGTTCAGGTGGACTTCGAGCCAAGCTATACAGGGCGACGAAATTCGGGATTCGACGACGCTTCAATACCAATACGAATTTGGATCCGTGCGTGTGATTTCACCGATTTCCGTCCCGAATCGATTCTGGATCCCTGGCTCACACCGGGTGAAGGGCTGGATTCGCTGCCGATGCGGCAAGTCGCGCCACCCACTACCACCCCCCTCCCCCCGAAAGAATGCCATTGATGGAGGTTGACACAGAAGCAGCGAAGGCTCTCTCAAGTGTCCAATGCTCAGCACGCCGACGCTGTTGTAATGTGTTCGTTTGGCATTCAGTTGGACATGCGATCCGATGATACGAAACGAAGCTCCTCGGTGACGGTGTCGTAAGGTGCTTGCACAGAGTCAGGGGAAAAGTAGACAACGACGGCAACTCACTTGAGTCAGAGATGTTGTGGAGGCGTTGTCTTCCAGCTCGGAGACCTCCTGAGATCGCATCCACATGTTCAAGTGGCCGATATTGCCGATGATCATGCCGAGCAATGTTCCGTACAAGAACGCCACGAAATTGATGCACCCGTGGATCACCGTCATCCGCACGAGACTTTCCACGGTTTCGAGTATCTCAACGTGCGGTGTATCTCTATGCATTTTGAGCACGAGGAAATATTCGACGTAGTCCGACCGAGCGTACGCCGCGAAATCGATGCCCGCGGCCAAGACGACGCACCACAGAAGAGGTATCATGTAGCTGATATTCAATCGTATGGAGCGTTTCTCCGTAGACCTCCACGAGTTGTAATTGATCGTGTAGAAGTCGACCAGCTGGCGCACCTTAGTGATTCTGATTCGGATGTAGAAAAAGGTGAAAAGTGCCGTCGCGCTGCTTGTCAGCCATTTTATGTGACGCCACGCGTTCAGGCCCCAAGAAACAGCGATTATGTTTTCGGTGAGGAACACGATCAGAAGAGACGCCACAACGATAGTGAGCAGGCTGCGCCACATCAAGCTGAGAGCCTGCGAAATTTCCCGCGTGAGTCGCTGCACCGCAATGCGATACGATCTCCAAACGGGGAGCATCTATGCTCCTCGCATCAGATACCGCCACTGAGGAATGAAGAATGAGCACTCACTCTGTTCTTCCGCTGGACCGGTACTATGTGTATGCCGAACACGGACAGGGATACCTGAGGTGCGACGAAGATGTGGTCGTACCATTTGACCTCGTCCGACACCTGAGTGAACTGATGAGTGCGTGGGTCGACCCGAGTAGTCGCGCGCTTTGACATGCTGGAAAATAATAGCAAGTCAGAGCTGAGCGACATCCTTAGTGCAATGATTCCGGCTCTGCATCATCAGTCTTCTGTAATGAGCCTCACGTCGTGTTCCCGAGCTCGTTTGGTATCTGATGGAGATCCGAGTGGATTAATAGATGGGATTTTTAGACCGCCTAGATTAATAGACCATTTTCCTTCTGTTCCCGCCCGCGAGCAGTCCCATGGAATTGAGAGATGGATCTTGACGCGAAAAAACCGTACGGTTTCTCGGTCCTGGCAGGAGTGACCTCCGTTCGGTTCGCGGTGTGGCGTTGAGAGGAAAACGGGCGCGGGTTGGAAAACGAGAGAAGAGCGTGGACGAGAATGACGGAGACGTTCCCTCGCTGGAGATGTCACTCGTCTTCCGGTTGTGAAGAGAGAAAGTCTCACTACCGGTTTCGTTCCCAGACATCCAAACAGACCGAGCGGCCGGCAAGGAAGTCAAGTAGTGAAGGACATCGTTGACATTAAGAGGACAATTGTGGAGGTCCCCTCACAGAGAGAGGGACTCCGTCACTTGTCCAATCACTTGATTCTGCAAGACTTCCCCGAGACGATGCCCCACAAGATTTTCCCGACGATCATTCGGATTGACAGGCGTGTTGTGATGGGTAGTCGAATATAGTTCTCTGCCACAATTGACAACCGATCGATTGCTTCCCCATAGAGCTCCGCATCGCGCGAAAATCAGTGCGTGGGAAAGTATTCCTCGGAACCGTCATCGTACGGAATGAAAGGTGTTCGAGAACGCTACGACGGCTATAGTCTAAATGCTAATTGGAAGGTGATTGCCTCGGCGTTTGACGCGCCTTGTTTGCTCGCGGGCCCTTGACAAAAACGACGCTTCAAAGTGATTTATATTGAGCCTGTGCAGGGAAACACACGCTCGTAACCCTGACGGCTGCTTCTTAGGGAATGCTTCCCGGGAAGAAAGTTGTGCTCCATCTACCCTTCCAAGGGATCAAGATCATCAATGAGGAGAAAATGTCACATCGGGCCAAAGGCAGAGAACAATGCAGACGGGCGCTTACCTTGAAGGCTGTAATTATTCTTCCGGACGAAGGCACGGACGTTCCTCATGGTCCTCCGACGCGGACTGAGTCGCTCGAGTGGACGACACGCCCTCCCACAGAAGTCCTCGATTCTTTATTCGTTTTAATGAAGTAAGGATATTTGAGTCCACAGCGGCCTTGACTTCACATATCCTGGGCAGCTCTCTACCCAGATTCTCATCACGGCGAGCTCGAGACCACGATTCAGACAATAGGAGTATGCTATCAGCATGGAGCGGCTGGGACTGTCGTCCAAGGAATATCTGCAATCCTGACAGGTCATGGTCGATATCATATCCCGAAAAACATCGATATCAGCTTGACCTCGATACTGGGCAGTTCAGCTCTGCGTTCGAGATTCTGCTTGGAAACATTGTGGATTGGAGCCACCGTCATATCGAACATGCATATTTTCGATTCAACTATCGGCTTTTCATGCTGAGGCGGTCCTCATGAATGACACGAGTCTTCTGGTGCAGCAGACCTCGTTGAAATTTTCCCAATGATCGTCACTGACTGAAATCCAGGAAGATGGCAGCTTCCCTTGACAACAAGAGGTGGAGGCTTCCTAACAGATTCGCCTAGGTACGGAGAGGGCTCGACTGAAATGTGCCGATTGCGCACGTTCACTCATGAAACCGAAGAAACGCCTAGATTGCATTCCCTGATTGTACCCGAGAGAGAGGATGGTGTTTCATGTCAGCTCGACGGCCGTCGACAATCGGGACTGACGGCCCCCGGGGGGTCCGGAAACCATGCTCGCTGAGACTGGATGACTGTGAAAAGTTCTCTTGTTCCTGCCGAAGGAATCTTCTCCAGACGCTCGGTCGGAAAACCTTCCTCATCCCCACGTAAGCGGATGATAGTACTTATTATAGAAAAGACCTCATGAGCCTTCTTTTTCTCTCAGCAGCGAATCAATATTCCAGCTCCGGCTTGTCGTCATTACTGCGGGATCGCTAGTTGACAGAGTATCTGAATGGTGCTGGCACCCATTCATTCCGGGCATTATTCCCCCGTCGAGATAGCTACTATGCCTCTATCGATGCCGAAGGGCATGTACGGTGACGAGCATCGTTGAGCCTAGCCTCATCTCGATCGTCGACGACGTTTCGAGTCGAACCAGAGGGTCTCACCTCGAAAACTATCTGCTCGGGGAAACGTTGTGACACATCGTTCGGAAGGGATTTCTAGCGGTGCTTGAACTTCAAATAACTTCGGCGGGGGCCGAGGTCTGTGGCAACATTGACCGACGAAAAAGTCGCAGCGAGAGTTCTTAATTGACTCGAGGAACCGGGATGACCAAAGGATGCAAAATCGCAGATCGATCCGACTCCGAGGTCGCTGGCTGATATAGGAAGAGAGAGAGGTCTAACTCCAGGCTCTGTCTGCCGCGATGTCGAGATTCAGGAGGCTGTTCAAGCACAGCCGGAGCTTGCGGTCCAGCCGCTGAAGGACCTCCTGGGAAGCGTCACTGTTGCACGAACCTAGTACGTAGAGGAGCTGAGGGGCCGAGAGACTGCATGGCATCTGGAATAGCCTGGGTGAGCGTCAAGAATCGTCAGTCTTGAGCATCAAAGGCCCATCAGGAGAGCCTTCCGGAAAAGCACCGCAAGCGTTGTCGATGAGTCCAGCCGGCCTATTTGGAGTCCCACTCAGTCACCAGCTAGGGGGCTCTAGTTCGGTAGCAATCGTCGTACTGCCTGAAGGATTTGTGCACGAGCCATGTCCGAATCGGACATCACGACCAGCTTGCTCTTGGAAGGGTTGAGCTCAACAGCAGAGGTCACGGAAGATATTTCATTCTCAGATATCGGCCATGACTGAGCCAGGAGAGCCTCCTAGAAGGCCATCACCTAGAAACCAGGGTCGGAATTTAGACTCTAGGCTCGGCAGGAGCTGTTGCAGAGCAATGCGAAAAAGGGCCGATCGGGCAGAAACTTTAGGGTTAGATTGGAAAACCCTAGAACAGCGGTTCTCGAAGTTTTCTCCCACACGTCTCCCCTAGGCCTTATGAGGGGCGCTCGCGTCTCCCAAGGAGATCACCGTATATCTGACTGAGAATGTAAGGTTTCGACCTGAACATGTCACAGTGCCGTTTCTTCCATGGAATATGGCTTCCTCGATCAATCGTATAATGATTAAAGACTTATTGTAGACTGGCAATGAGCTGGGAGACCTCCCGGAGACGAAAAATCGGTCGGTCGGGAATTCTAGGGATCCTCCGCGTCTCCCTAGTTTCAGAAACGCTGCCCTAGGATATTATCATTTTAAGGCCGTTTCAAAGGTCTGAAACGCTCAAAATTGACCCTCAAACATCGGGTCCACGGAAAAATAGAAAAAGATGGGCATTATTGATCTGATAAGTATGCGCTCCGCTCGCAAATATTGGGTGTTTCTAAGCCCGTAGAAGCGGCGCCGGTTTGAATTTGGCGCCAGTACGCCATCTTTGAGAAAATCTCGAGCTAGCAGCCGACAGTCCTATTGCTCTTATCGATAATTCGATAAGCTGGAACTTCGACGGCGATATTGGCTTCGTCGAGCCTAGGGTTGGCGACCTGTTTCTCGGCCCGGCCTGTTTCTCGGCCTTGGGATAGGGCGGATCTGAATGCGTCGTTGTTTCCGCTGGTGACCCTGATCCGATGCGACTCGTAGTATGTACAAGCGGAAAACAATAGATCGAGGCATGGCCGATACTGGGATAGCGCGGATAAGTGCGGTCGGCAGAGTGTGAGTTCACTAATTAGACTGTGGGAAAGCGTAAGTGTCATTCAGTCACAGCGAGCTCCCGCTTCTGAGAAACTGACGTGATACCGGGTTGGAAGTCTCGCCGCAGACAGATATGTGGATTGCGTAGAATACGTATCCCGAGAGAGCTGAGGCGAGCTCTAGGCGATAGCGATAGGTAATGCTTCCTCCGCTGAGATACGAGTACGACAAAAGTAATCCCCTTGAAGCTCCCGTCGCTCGCGATCTCTCTTTGATTGGCGACGCTGACGAATTCCCCCGGTTGAAATGCATGCTGGAATCTGATCTTGTTGATTCGAGTTGTTTTAAAACTTGCTTGAGTCGCGGTCCTTGTTATCATCGACTGATGAACTAGGTACAACTACCGTGTTCATCCACCGACTTCACGAAACGGGCACCCCGAAGTGCGACTTTCGAGCCCTCACTGACGAACTCGTTGGCTGGAGCTATCGTTGGGAAGCGGTTTCCATGTTGATTTATTCGGCTTCGAAATGAACTTCTATTGACTCCGGTAGCACGCACTGATACTGAGGGATCCCAAGTCGGCCGTCGGGGTGCCCGTTCATCAGGACAAATTCGGTATGTAGTTTACATTTTCAACCGTGCGGAAGGTGCCTTTCTAAGTTTCCGATTATCAGAGAATTAGCCCCCATAAGATTGAACGCGATTAGCCTGCAATTATGAGTTTGCGCTTTTCAACTCCATCTCGGAACGATGAGGACTGCAAGGTGACTTATCGCGAAAGGCGTAGGATCATCAGATGATTTATCGAGGCTCGCGGAGACCGTAGAATACCCATCTGAGCTATCGCGGAGCGCGCAGATATTCAGGTGACTTTACTTCTTTTGGATGGATCAGCATGCTAGATCCTAACTCATGGCGATATTCATTGTGATTTGTGATATAATGAAACGAGACCAACCCCATGAAAAAAATACCCGAATCATTGCAAATACGAAGGAATAAGAGAAATTTATTTTCATTCCAGCTCCTGATAGGATATGGCCCCATCACGCTGCTATTCACCATCACCATAGAGCCTGGAACTTCACGCGAAATGCCATAATAGCCTCTTCCTGCCTTTTTCGGTTGTGGAGCGACATTTTGACTTTCCTCATGGCATGTAGCCTCTCCGCCCTGGAGTCGAGTTCGAATGTTGCTTTAAAGAGGCTT